TTTAGCTCAGCTGGCTGGTTCCCTGTTGAGTGACGCCGTAGTCCCGGGTTCGAGACCCCAGCGGTGGGCGGCCGACCTGAGGCGGCAGTGGCGAGGGCGCAAACCCACTTGAACCCAAAAGCACTACACTATCATATTTGGATAATTAAACATTTCTACAATTTTAAGACAGTTGAGAACATACAGTACTTACTGAAGATGTGATATCAAAATGAAAGATTGTTAGCTGATTCTTCTTCTTGGGTGTGTTCAACAAGGACTGAAGGATGGCATTTTCATTGACTCTTGGCTCAATTAGGCGAATACACTTCAGCAATGCACTCTTATCTCTTGTGCTTTGTTTCAGTTTTTCTTGCAACCTCCGGATATACAGGGATTTGCCTAAAAACAGGTAGCATTGAAATAGTTGCATTGTTGATAGTAATAATATACAAGATAGCAGATATATGAAGATATTACTATTACTAAAGCAAACATACTGTATTTTCGAAATATGACATGTAATACATTACAGTTTTCATGTTCCAACATTGAAACATGAACCTGAAGACATAATTGGAAAATATAGGGACCCATACTATATAAAACTTAGAACAGGATGAACTCTTTCATGACAAATGGATGTGGGAGTACACGATAAACAACCTGGCTACTGAAAAGCTAAACGACCTGGATGGGACGAATCTGCTCCCCTTCTCATTCTGTTCCCTCTGCTTATGTTCTTAAAATGTTACAGAATGGTGGTAAAGCATTCTCTCAATAGAGTTGTATCAGAAAAAAAACTGACATTGATCTGCTGTACTTACCAACTCCAGCCCTTTTGGAGGACACAATTCCTACAAACATTCTGTCCTTAAAAACCGACGCTGCAGTTGGCACCTCTGTGGAAACAGTGTAGTGCCCGGAGAGGTAGGCCTGAACTTTGTCCAGACGCTCATGGGGGATCATGTGCACCTTGTGCTGGCTGAAGGCTGAGGGAATGTAAAAGTGCTCCCTGTCAGAGTTGCAGATGATCACCAGCCTGTAATCCCCCCTGCACTCCATCTTTAGCCTCTGAAATAACTGCTCAAATCTGTAGCTAACGTCATAGCTCAGTTCATCTGCGTACAACATGGTATAAATCTTCTTTCCCTTATAACCTTCTGTCAGGCACCTCCTCAGGAAGATCTCCACCTGCTCATACGGGGTGCTGGCTGAACAGAGGAGCACCTCATCATAGGTAGGAAGGTCCTCATCCATGCTGCTCATGTAGATGCAAATACAGGATGTCAAAATTTCATCATGTGGGCAAATTATGAGGTTTGGGCACCCCTGCTGCAGGCCATTTGGCAAATTCCTTTGGACAGTCTTCTTCTCCTTGTCTTCTTTGGTAGCTAGAATTTCCAGCAGCTTCCCAAGTGTTCCGATGTCTATACAATTGGGCAGAAAATGCTTCATGTCTCTCATGTAAAAGTTCCACACCAGATCCAGCTTCTCTGCCCCCTTGGCACTGTGCAGTAAAGCTGGCAGGTCTTCAAGGGTGTAAGTACCTTCCTTGCTCTCCAGGAAAATATCCACTTCCATGTTGGTTTCATCAACAAATGTCTGAAAGTCCATCTCTTCATCTGGCTGAGAGATATCCTTAAGATCATCATACTGCCACTTGTGCCAGCATTCCCTTATATCACTGATTGTGCAGTTGGGTTTAATGAAGGAAAGCAACATTAGAACTTGGTCTTCAAGACTGTCCTGTTTGTCTGGAGTCAGTTTTTTGCACAAATAGACAATCTGCTCTGCAGTGTAGTAGTTGAGGAAGTAATGTTGGGATCTCTTCCTGTCCATGAACTCTTTCCAGAACCTCAAGTATTTCTCAGTTTTCTTGCAGAGATCCGGAAGTTGTTCTACCACTGCTCCAGAGAACATTATCTCCCCAATTGTATTTTCAAGGTTGAAGTCCATGATGATACAAGCCTCACTGTGCTCACTGCAGTTAATTTTAGCTTCCCAGTCTCTGAAGAGCATGTTCCCAGCAGCATGTAGATCAATAAATGACATAGCAAGTCTCTGAACACTGGAAAATACCTGCAAGTAAGACAATATTAAAGTACTGACAGTGTCATATAAAGTCTCTGAAGCTTTAAGTAATGGTATGTAAATAATGCCATATTATATTGTTCCACAGCACTGAAATTTAACACAAGAATGAAACACAAATTACAGAATTTCCATTTTGCCAAAACAGCTGTCTGTTAGTAATTATTCATGTTGTAGTAATTATGCATTCATTACAATTACTATATGTAGAGTTTGCTTTGTAGCATACTGATGGTACCCTTTAGTTTTTAAGGTTGGCTAGAATAGAATGTAAGGTGTTCCACAAGAGTATGGCTTCATACAAAAGACAAACTTACTGCCAAGACCTTAAATGTTTTCAAGACTTTTGTCTTGATAAGAATTCCATTATATGGAGTGGAAAAGTAGTAAGAGTGTAAACAATTACTAATGGTAAGATTTAACATCAGTTTAAACAGCTCAGTGTTTAAAGACACAGTTATCCATAATGTGAATCTATGTGATGCTGTTTGAAGGAATAAAAGCTATGAGGTTCACCTCTGCAAAGCGCTCCACTTCACATTGCCCCTGCTCTCCTTTCCCTGACATCAGCATCAGCTTGTTCTGCAGCTCCTTCAGGTCTTCCAGGGAATAGCAGCGCACGTCCTGGCCATCCTCATGCTCCTCTGTGATCCTGAGTTGGAGGGCAGTGTCCAAATTTACCTGGCATTGAAAAAAGTATGCCTCTTTAACATTTTGAATTAATGTTTCTTTGCCAATTTTAAGGATTCCTGCTGCAATTAAAGATAGGCACAGCTGGCATTGGAACCCATGAGTCACTACTGAGAGTACAGGTACAGACACAACTGGCAATGCCAAATAAATAAAGAGGCATTTTTGTTCACTTTTTGAATAAAATGCTTAACTGTCTTAATTTTCTTGAACGCTTTTCCATGAAATTCTGTAAAGAGAAGAAACCCAACACCAACAACACACCATCTTCAACAAAAACACAGTACTTTTCCAGCATAATGCTCCAGAATTTTCATTAACTTAAAAACCATCATGTCCCCCCCATTTACAAACCTTCTTCTGGTATTGCGAGCTAATGATATAGATGCCTTTCTGGTTAATGGCTGAAGCCAGAGAGAGTGAGGACAGTTCCACTGAGCCATGGCTGTCCTTCACCGTTTTCAGCCACTCCAGGTGGCGTGCTGTGTCACACTGAAACCAGAGAGAGAACCACAATCTTAATTGCTTTGTCAATCTACCCTCTTTGCCTGTTCCATAGTAGCAAACATGGATGTCTATACTTGTTATGTTTAAGTTCTCTGGACTACTTCTTTTGAGCTATGTAGTTAAATCTCCATTAACAACCTTTAACACGGCAGTACAAAACCCCTTATGTTGTTTCAGAGGATGAATATCTTACCAGTTTCTTTGGAAGGTTAGGATCATTATCAAATGCCTTCCACAATTTCTTTAATGCATCCTTAAAAGCACTGAAACCAGTATCTGGCTTCAAGTCATACAATATGGAGGAGTATCCCAGGACAGCGTCATGGAAACAAGCCACACGATCCACATCCAGGTCATTCTCCCCCGCAGATATAGATGCCAGGTCAACAAATACCTTCAGTTCATTGATATCTACAATTGAAACAAAACACTTTTTAAAATGAAAATTAACAACATAAATTCAAGAAATAAAATCCACAAAGAGCAACCCATAACCAAAACAATTTTAAATAAATGGTATGCATGTACAAATAACCAAAATACTGATTTTCTTTAATAAGTGCTCATTCTGAAATAGCCCACCTTCAAGAGCTCCTTTCACCCAAAAGACAAAGTTTCTCCTTAAACCAAGCTCCAAAAGGCATTTCCTGCGGTCTTCTGTGATATCCACAAGAATCTTCTTAGCCTGGATTAAGTCATTGTCAATGCGGTCCATACTCTCTCTTTTAAAATCCTCTTGTGTCTGAAAGTATCATTGAAAATACAATAATGCATTAAACTTCTCTTGCAAGGCAGTTGGATGACTATCAATTAGTTGTACCTGTTCCACAAAACACAACAAAATTCTATAAAATAAACTAATGTGTATGTAAATTATTAAGTTAAAAAGTAAGGCAGATACAATAAAGGCTCATCATGTTGAAATCAAAGTGAAAGAAGAAAAAATTGAGCACTTACTACACTTAATAATGTCTGCAGAACCTGGAAATCCCCATTAAGCTGAAGTGTGTTCTTCACATCCATAATGACCTGAGCAGATTCTACAGCCAGGTGGAGCTCATGATACTGCTGGATCTGCTGGATCCTGATTGTTATCCATCTTCTGTCATCAGATGGGTTAACCTTGCACATATTCTGGAGCTCTTTCTCCAGTTCTACATAGCGGTTTTTGTAAACTTCAAAAACGTTATCCACCTCCTCCAATGTCAGTATACCTTTCTTAAGTTTTGAATAGATGTCACGATAGATTTCATAACATGGCTCAAATATCTCCTCATTGATCACACCAGGTGTCGTCAGGCAAACAAGCTCTGGTTCTGTCTCCTCATCTTCATTAAGATCCCCTGCAGCCAGTTCTTTTGCTTGATTCTCCCAGCACATTTCAAAGATGTAGCTGTCTTTCAAAGTGTGCAGTGTTTCAGCCATCTGTCTGGTCTCTTCGTCAAGATGAAAATATGTGACCAGCCCCGCCTCTTCAGAAGATATTTCTTCCAGTCTGTGTACAACCATGAACTCACCCAAGTTCTTCACCTCTATGTTGCTTTGGCACTTTGATTCCAGCTCCTCCAAATTTACTGTAATACATACAGAATGAGAGAAATGTCTTGGTCATATTCTGTACATGCCTTTTCAATATGGCAAACATCTTAAAGATATTCCTAATTCACACCCCACCTTTTGACTGTGGTATGTGATATTATAAAAATGTTTTATTAAAAACATACAACTTCATAAAGCTTCCAACGAGTACTACTTCAAGAATGTATAAAAATCACAATTTACCAACTCTCATGCCAGAATTATTCAGCATATTTTAGCAGTCTGGAATTATAGTGAAAACAGTTTGAGTAGTGCAATCTCTTTTTACATCTTCTCTTTTATTGATATTTCATTGTAATACGTATTTCTTAAACAACTATTCAATATCAGTTACCAAGCCTTCAGTTCAAGTGCACATTAGCATACTGTAGATTTAAGACATATTCTGAAATGCTACTCTTTTATAACGTATTAGAGAATGTCAAATATCTGGATTGATTTTGCATAGAGATTTTGATGTGCAGCTGACCAAGGGCTACTAAAAATTAAAGCTGGACAATTCTCAACTCAAGGTGATTTGTTTTTCAAAAATGCTTTTTTGGAATATCAGTTTTCTTTTGAGCATACACACCTTTTACATATTCATTGATTTTCCGGCACATTGCGAGAAGACTTTCTACAAGCTTCTTTTCATGCATAACAGACTTCACCTCAGCTTCCCGCCACTGCAGCAATCTCTTCATGGCCCCAGTGTCCTTACACTGCTCACAGTCAGAGAGGCCTTCTGCAAAACCAAACAATCCTTTTTATGGAGTTCCATACTTTAACTTTTGCCACTGTAAACTCTTGCTGCAGTCAAGGAGGTTCAGTGCATAAAACAAATACACAGATGGAATTACAACACATTTGTTAAAAAAACGAATATTTCAAACATAAATCTTTTATTTTAAGCTGGAAATAGAGTCAATTCACTACATAACTTACCTATTTTCAGTAATTCAATAAAACTGGTTTTCTTTAGAAAGATGTATTTCAGAATCTTTATTTGGATGTCTCCTCTGATGAACTGGTTTGTAATGGCTACGAAAGCTGAGCTTGCAATAGCAATCAGCTCTTTTGCATCATCTGTAAGCTGATCAACCAGTTTCCCATCTGCACCTGTAAAGAATGAGGGAAAAAAATAAAACTAATTAGCGATCATAGACTGTGATTAAAAATTTCAATGGAACAACAACAATGGAATTGTCATAAAATACAATTCATACAGTCATACAGTAGCTTCTTCTCTAGAAAGTGTACTTAGATTTAGACAATTAAATTCAATAAACATTTTTTGTTTATTGCTATTGCTGTTTTTTAATTTTTATTACTGCTATTTTTCCACTTCACTGAGAATATAAGAAGAGTAAAATAATGGTCAGTAGTCAAGATTTTTCTTTTAAAAAGGTGGCAAAATGATACCAAGAGAACCTGGAACTGCACCCGAACCCAAAGAATGTTTTTAAAGTGATCAATGTTTTCAAGTTTTCTAACTCAAAAATCATTAAATTGATGCTGTTGTGAATTGTCCCATAAGCACCTTGTAACTGGAAGATGTTCTTGGCTGCAGACCAGTTGAGCAAGTGCTCGACAAGGACCTCATCACCCTGACGATACTGTCCCCTTGAGTCTCTCGGCCAGGACTTCTCGATGATTGTGGACACCAGCTTTCCAAACTTCCTAAAATCATGTCTTTTCAACTTTTCGAAGAGACGCCCTTCTGATTTTTCCTGGTAATTAAAATGTTTTTTGGCATATCAACTTCTCAGCATATTAAGAAAAGCATTACAGTAAGTTACGCCTACAGTTCTGGAACTGCTTTTAACCCCTTAGTTTGCTTTCTTCCCTGTGACCCACTATTCTAGAAGATTTAAATGATGTGTCATCATGAACAAGTACGTCTTTTCCATTAGTAGCATCTTGTAACTCACTGTTTTCCCATTTAACAATGTATGCTTTTACTACCTACATGTAAAACCCTTCACCTGTCTACTGTATATTAAATATTATCTTACACGGAAATTATGAACTTATCATGATCCACAATAAAAGCAATCTGAAAAAGATATGTACTACAGCCATTTAACTTGGGTCTCAACTTACGCATGTAACCATGCATTGAAAAAATGGTGTTGCAGACATATTTGTGTTCTACACTGTCTGGGGGGCATGTTGTTAGCATTGTTAACAAAAAAGAGACATGAGAAAGGCTGGACATTTTTCAAAAAGGAACCCAACTTAAGTTAATGTATCTCTGGCATACCACATAGAGTCAGACTGGAATATATACTGCATTGCTGGAATCTGAAGAAGAAACCAGGCCTTAGACTGCTGCCTAACCAATATTTTATCATTCATTTATTTTATAGATAAACTTTAATTCTTCAACTACTATATCTGAGATTTGTAACCCCAAATCAATTTAAAGTGAAGAATATTTAGCCACTTATACTTACAGATATGTTACAATACAGATAAAAAAGGATGAATAAGATTTAAAATCTGTAACAGTTCAAGCAATTATGGACAGAAAACAAAGATGTATACCTGGCAAATAGAATTGACAGATTCCAGGGCACATTTTTCAAGGCATCGAGATATGTGCGGATGAGTATTGCTCATCTCTTCATTTTTACTGCAGTAAATTTCAATCTGATTCATTGGAGGCTCCTTACAAACAACAACAAAAACAGCAAAACAAAATCACCATAAAGTGAAAAACAATATTTACGAAAAGGCATGCCGTACATAATCAAACGCATCCATCCATGTATTTGATTATTATCCATATCTCCAGCAATGTATCATCTAACCAATACAATACAGTGTCACGGGAGAGCTGTAGTCTATCTCGGCAAGGAACCTGCACAAGGCAGGATACACCCTGGATGAGACGCCAGTCCATCACAGGGCACACACAGATACAAACACACACACTAACTCCAGGTCTAGTTTTCCCTTTGGACTGTTATTCCTACAGTATATACCATCTGTATTAATGGAATACAGGATTTCGGTCTATGCACAGAGAACTGAATACTTCTTCAACTGAATAGGTGATCAAATTCATTTTAGATGCATAATAATTTGGGACTCGACCAGTAAAACTGCCTGTTGAGTCTCTCAGTGTCATTAGCCTGCCTTGAACAGGAGATTCTAAGCAGCATGCAGCTGTCCAAGAACAAGCAGGGTCTGGTAGGTACAGTAGTCACAGGATCTTCAGCTTGTGGAACGATAAGTGCTGTGAGGATGAAGTATTATCAGGGACAAATGTAACTCCTGTCTGATCCTTTCTCTACTATAGATCCTATGAGGCTGGCAGTGCAAAACAATGGCACATGGCTCAAGCATGCATGTTTCAGGGGAAATGGCTTTGATCCTCCCTCCCCTGTAGTGATATGAGGAAGTTGCTGAACAGGCTGGAGTTTTAGTAGCATTCCACATTGCATACTGTATTTACCATTGTTATTCTTTGTTTTATTATGATTATCTAAACAATCGCTTTTGCAAAAACATCTATTTAGAAGCCACACTGCAAATTGACTTTTCTTTACCCGTTTAAGTTTTCCTTCAAAATCATTCCGAAGAGTATCCCTCCAGAAACTGGTGAATTCTTTACTTCCAAATGTCAGGGACATTGAACTGTTCCATGCCTAAATTAATTCATTTTTGAAGAAACAAAAAAAGGTAAAACATACAAAATATAAAGTTGAAAGTGAACTGCACAACACCTAAACTTTATCTAAGTAATGAAGTGCACTATAAACCCAAGATGATCCATTCTGCAATCACAAATAACCAAACATGATGCCAAACATCAGTAGGAAGTTCAATGAGCCCAAAGTGTTGCTGAGAACTACTGAACTTTAAATATCAACACTTGCCACTTAATTTCCTTGCATTATTAATATCCCATGTAATTTACCTTCTTCATATTTAAGGGCACAATTTCTAACAAAAGATCAGAATTAGTCATCATTCCCGTGATTTTAGTCACATGACATAATTCCTATGTTTTTAAATCTTTGTCCAAGGTCCAGAAGATGAAAAGGTTTTCTGAGATGCAGTCTTAAAATGCTGCACACAGCACTTACAGTATTACACTCTACCACTGTTACACTGGAAAGTGGGATAAGGATAATGGTTTATTCTATGGGCTCTGAAATGTTTTAAGAAAATGTTTTATACATTCTTATGATTTTTTTTCTTTTACATTTTAATTAGAAAATGATTTACAAAGTTTTTAATGACATGAATATTTTCTCAAGAACCATAAAAAATATTTGTCTTATCGAATTTGGTGATGGTTTTATCCAAAATGATTTTAAACCTCCAATTCTCTCTACAAGATTTAGTCCCCATTTATACAGCTGGATTACCTGGAGCAGCTCAATAGGTAGAGCAGCAGTGTTGCCCTTAAGATGATTTAACGTTCTGTGTTGCTATACTTAATTCACATTTTTGAATGTCAGTGTTGGATGATTTATAAAAATGGATAAATCCAATGTCTGGGACACCCACCATGATCTTTAGAAGGTGCAAGAGAAACATGCAAACTCCACACAGACAGACCCTTAAGGTTGGAACCCAGGACCCTGCAGTCCTAAAAATATTAGGCATCATGCCCCTGCTGATGCCACCCAGATTTCAGAAACTAGCTCAGCCAACACCGTACACATCAGCAAATCTTACCTCTATTTCATTGTTAGAAGAGAAATCAATGTAGTAAGTGCCATTCAGCAGTTTGTTACGGAATGTGCTTTTTATCCAATTTCTAATCATTTGCAGTGTCTCCTGTAACTCATTATTTTTACATTCCAACTCAGTGTCACCACTTTCCATTGTCTACGACATAAGTAAAGAAATATTTATATACACATTATCACATACAATAACTTTTTGATAAATTAAAGGGCAGTGCAAAGCTATTTATCTTTAAAAAAGAATGGGAATCTGTGTGCCACATTATAGATCATTTATTGCAGCTGAAATATTAAAGCGAGAATTTTGTTCAAAGAACTTTAAAAAGTAAATGCATGCACATGATTTCAAAATCTTCATAAAAATATCAGAGGGCATGCTGATACATACCACAGGAGGAAAAAGTCCAGCAAATTCAGCCATCACAATGACTAGGTTCATGCAGCTAATGGGAATCTCATAAAACCTCTGATCTTTTGTTAAATTGCAGATGTTTTCCAAAAGTTTCACAGCTGTTTTGAAGCAAGTCTCTCCATAACTGTCACAACTGTAAAAGAAGAAATGTGGCTCAGTTGCTAACATCTCAACAAACTGAGGGCATATGACTGTGCATCAAAAACTTGTGGCGTTCGTTCAAAAACTGACCAAAATTCTTAATCATGATGATAGATGATAGTTTCTTTATACAGAAAATGATGGTATTTCACTGTAATCTGTTTATAATAATGTGTATTACAGTCAGTAAATAATATATATTAATTTTAAAGGAAAATTAATTTTAATTTCCTCAATTTCTATTTTTCTACAGCTTTATTCCTCAGACTAAATTCAGTTACTAGCATGTAGTTTCCAAAGCAACAACCTATACTTTTTAAAATAAATGATTTTTTAATTAATTGGCATTGCAGCTCAAATTACAAAATAAATATCAAAATTATGCAGTCCAAACCTACAATATCAAGCTTAAGTTCATACCTGTACTGTTGCTCACTGGCTTTACTGAAGAGGTGGGATAATAGTTGCTGTATAACCTGCAAAAGTGATTGATATTTAACATGAGTACAGCTGTAATTTACATTATGTATCTTAAATACTATCATGTTAGTGGGACCAGCAGGGGGTGCTCACCCTGTGGTCCATGTGGGTCCTAATGCCCCAGTATAGTGACGGGGACACTATACTGTAAACATGCACCGTCCTTCGGATGAGATGTAAAACCGAGGTCCTGACTCTCTGTGGTCATTAAAAATCCCAGGGCGTTTCTCGAAAAGAGTAGGGGTGTAGGCCGGCGTCCTGGCCAAATTTCCCATTGGCCCTTACCAATCATGGCCTCCTAATAATCCCCATCTATGAATTGGCTTCATTACTCTGCTCTCCTCCCCACTGATACCTGATGTGTGGTGAGCGTTCTAGCGCACTATGGCTGCCATCGCATCATCGAGGTGGATGCTGCACATTGGTGGTGGTGGAGGGGAGTTCCCATTACCTGTAAAGCGCTTTGAGTGGAGTGTCCAGAAAAGCGCTATATAAGTGTAAGCAATTATTATTATTATTATTATTATCATCCATTGCACGTGAATGCAAAAGTGCAGCAAAGAGCAGATCTGTAAGTGTCTTGAATGATGATTGACATCAGATGAAAAATTGAAAGAGAAAAATAACAACTAACCTCATAGTTAGAGTAGGAAATTTCTTGTTTTAATTTGAACATAAATCCGTGCAAAATGTCCAAGAGATCAACTGGTACAGAAGAACTATACTCAGCCAAGTCTTCCAAATTCAACAAGCACATCCATGAGCGAGACACTAGACGGTCCACTTCAACTAGGTGTTTATTTGCTGTCATCACCTTCATTATAGCCCTTTAAAAAGGCATTCATGGGTGATTAAGAAGTTCTTACACAGTGCAGTTTTGTTAACCATATACAGCATCACCTGCACTAAGCCTTGCAGTCACTCCAGTGTGTCACAATAAGGTTTGAAAGATCAATTAATCAAAATTACACCAAAACATTTGATTTCCAGAATCACCATACTTTATTTTCCTTAAACCATGAATACAGAATGAGATACGTATTGATATTCAGTACCCATAAAGTTACAGTTTCATTAATATTTTGAAATGAAAGAATAATCCTAAAGACCTAATTATACTTTAGCCATAGGAAATACATCTAAGAATATGTTTCTGCACCAATTGTCTATTCTATGATAGGCATACCTTCGGTCTTGTGAGCTTGACTCAAACTCCATTAACTTGATTCCTTCAAGCCCAACCCAGGACATAGTATATTTTGAGCTGGCGTTCACTGGCAAAGACTCAAATGGTTGACAGTCGCTTCTCAATAAGTGTAGGAGAGGAATTATCAAAACCCACTTGACTAGTTTGGACTTTACTCCTGCCTGACAAAACATCCTCACAGAATCCAAGATGCTGAAAGATAAAATAAAGGGAGTTAACCCAATCAGCTGTGTCCTAATGATTATACATTGTTTTCCCTAACTTACAAGTTTTGATTTTCACTCATCTGTTATTATCTTATATACTGTAGTACTAGAACCCTCTTGTAATAATAATAATAATAATAATAATAATAATAATAATAATAATAATATTAATAATAATTCCTTCAATATAGGAAAGTCCAGCAGTGTTACCATCCTCTAGCCTGATCGCATCAGATCTGAGAAGCTAAGGAAAGCTGGGCATGGTCAGTATGGTCAGTATAAGTGTGAGAAGCTTTTAAGAAATTAGGCTTGACAAACCAATTAGTGCTGTACTATAAGTGGTGCTGGTGGACCAGTTGGTGGCACTTTTTCCTCTGGACTAGAAATTCTAAACAAATGTTCTCATCAGATTACCAAGGGATAGATGCTGTAGGAGGTAACATCCTAAGGATGAGACATTTAACTGAGTTCACAGACCAATAGATCATTATGCTTTAATTGCTGTGTCCCAACTAAATTAATCTCCGCAAACCTGGTGTAATGTGTGGTAGTACTACTGAGACATGATGACTGACGTGCCACCCTGGTGGGTGCTAAACATCCATGGATGGTGGATGAAATCTCCATTAGATTCTTCACACATGAATGGCATTGCAGGCACAAATGGGGCAGTGATTCGTATGGGTTCCATTCCAAACCTGGGGTGCTATCTGTATGGAGTTTGTATAATCTCCCTGTGTTCATGTGAGTTTCTTCTGTGTGCTCTGTTTTCCTCCCACAGTCCAAAGACATACTGGTAGGTAAACTGACTTCTGGGAAAATTGGCATTAGTGAGTGTTTGCTGTGTCTGTGTGTGCCCTGAGATGGCCTGACATTACATTACATCCTGGCTGTACCCCACCTTGCCAGGATAGAGTCTGTTTCTCCCACAGCCTGAAGGGAGTTAGAACATGGGTGGATGGATGTATTGCATTGTAATACAATAAATCTGATTCCTCAAAGAATCCTAAAAGAACAGTATAACACTCAACATAATATTGCACATTCTAATGCAGTCCTGAGACTGTTTATGCAAACATAACTGGTTGTTCTCTCTGCAGATCAAAGAAATTGTCAACGTAGCTATCAATCTGGTTTATAAAATATCACTATATTACTCACCATTGTTCATTCTTTATACTCTGCATGAAGTCTGTCCAGTACAAAATGAATTCTTCTTTTGTTTTGTTCGGCAAGCACAAAAGATTACATAACCTTGACATCTCCCCAGTTTCCAGAGAGATATGGTATTTGGTCCAAATGACCAGCATAATTACACCAGCCTTTAAAGGGTCTTTGATCAAACCATGACTCAATTCGTTATTTTTTTGCAACTGAGGAACAATCCTTTCAATCATGAACTCTTTTAAGAGGCTTTTTACCTGAAAGAAAAATTACACATTACATGTTACACCCAATGACTGATTTATTGCGAATCACATAAAGAGATCAAGTAACAAGAAACAAGAAGAAAACAAAAATACACAGCAAATCTGAACCTCATTTGCTTCCAAGACAATGAATGATTTTGTTCTGTATTTCCTATTTTATAATATGGATATTTGTTCTGCTTTTAATTATGGTTTAAAATGAAGTTACTAGTGCTTCCATTTTGAACCTTACCAATGGCATGGAAAAAATATTAACTTGTCTCTTAAACAGGTTCAGACACATGATCTGCCATAATGGATATCAACCTATTACTTAATCAGTAGGAGGACAGTACAACTGGAACCCTTCTATTAAAAATACACTTTAGCCTAAAAATGATTTACCTCTTTCTCCCCATACTCCAGAGAGGACCACCTCTTATGGGTGTCTTCATACACAAATGGGTCCTTGTATGTCTCATAAAACTGATTAAGTTGGGTGAAACAACTTTTCCAATTAATGTCACCCCAGAGCTGGAGAGGTTCAAAGATTGTTTCCAGCATGAACTTGCCAGCAATCTGTCTTCCTTTCACAACTTTATTCTTTTCTTCAGACCAGACCAGGTTTTTAAGACGTGCCATCACACCTTTAGAAGGCTCAACACAGATTATGTCATCATATTGATGCCACTCTCCTAAAAAGCACAAGAAAAAGAGGAATGGTATATTGCGCCACTTTAACATTTTATTAAATATTTACATGAAATACGTACTTTCTTTTATCAGAAACTACTTAACTAGGCAGAAGGCATCTAATATTTGTCAGAGTTCTGTCCAGACAAACAGAGAATATATCTTGCTGTACCTTGTTCACTTAAAAGATGTGGCTTGATGAATAAGCATCTGTTAACAAAATTCTGCGTATCCAGTTTATAAATGTGCTCAAACTCCATCTCATACTTTTTTCCTTTGTATTTGTATACAACATATTTATATGGTATAGAGACAGATGCATGTTTTTTGGATGTTACTAGCCGGCCTTCAACAAGAAACCCATGTTCCCCTAAATTCCTGCAAAACAAAATACAAATGTCTGACTTAATACAAAGCTCGTTTGTTTAATCCAAGGATTTAGTTGTTATTTTAACAAAGATTTTTCCAATAGGTTGTTCATGTAGTACGTTTAAAAATATGCATGCTTACTGAGTAACATCCATTTTAACTGTATCCTTGTCCCATGAACCAATCCGTTCTCCAGCTCGCAAGTAAACTAAATCCTGTTGTGGGTTTAGTTTAAAATCCTTAGAGAGGACAGCATGGAAGCAAATGGTGAGTCTGTCAGCAGCAGGAATAAGCTGTGAAGGCTCTAAGCTGCAAAATGGTTAAATAAAAAAGGAGAAATTCAGTGTAACTTTCAGTTCATCCACAAGAATTATAAAAGTCGGATGATGAAACTACAAGTGTCCAAAATCAAACTTTATACATGAAAACCAAATAAATAATTTGCCCCTTGTTAAAAAGGTTATTTAAAAATCTTAACAAACATTTTCCTTTTGTTAAGGAAAACAGTTTGCAATTTAAATTATGAATGTAAATAGCATTGCTGCCTCACAGCGGAAACATTCGACAGCGTCATTCCAAGACATTCCTAAGACAGCAAAATCTGTATAAAAATGTAAAAATAAATGCTTTCATAGAAAATCAAGAACAATTAATGCAAACAAATTATTTTGAATTCTGAATGCTTTGTGATAAGGCACTACCTGGATTACTGTAACTCTAAGAGAGAAAGAGAAAATCAAGACACAATTGCATAACTATATCATAATACATACTTCTTAGGTGGATCCACTTCCTTGTTCTTCTTTTTCCGGGTTACCACTTTAAAATCATCATTCTCACTTTGCTCGTGGGTTGAATCCTTTTGCTCCGAGATTCCCGAAGAAATAGGAGTTGAATCAGTGCTGCTGGGTGACTGCTGCACTTCCGTGCTCTCAATTTGTTCACCTCGAGATTTCAAGGAGTTTTCCACCAATTCTTCCTTTTTTAGACTCTTATTTCCATGGGATACACTCTCGTCTGCCTGTGTTCAAAAACCAGACAACCAAAAACAATTCATTATAAAGCAGCAAGTACAAAGGCATAACTGAATATCTTATTTCCCAAACAAGGAAGTGAAAAGGCTTCAGAATTGCAGGCGTTCCAGCAAGGATTTCTGACAGTCCTGCTTTTGTTTTTGGATTTGGGGAAGAGAATTATAGAACAAGTAACAAGTCACCTTGAGAGATAATTGTTTATTGTTTTTTTTTTCAATTTTAAATCAATTAATCCAGGACTTTCTAAAATTCCATATTAATAAATGTGACACTTTTACCAGAGCGGTGCGGTGGCTCTGTGGCTAAGGATCTGCGCCTGTGGCCGGAAGGGTACCGGTTCATATCACGCAGCCAGCAGAGGAATCCTACTCCATTGGACCCCTGAACAAGGCCCTTATCCCCAACTGCCAGGGGCGCTGCAGGGGCGACTCTGCGCTCTGACCCCAAGCTCCTCTCCCTGTCTGTGTGTCACAAGGAGAGCAAGCTGGGGTATGCGAAAAGGCAAATACCTAATAGAAGAAATTGTATAGGGCCAATAAAGTGATCTTTCCTTACTTTCCACTTTTTGATAGTGTCCTCTCTTATATTTGGGATAAAATAGAGCTTAAAAACAGACAAAAAAAAATTCTGCATCTTTTCTTAAAAAAAAAACAAAGTTATATTACCTTCGCCTTATTCTGTGAAGCATGGGCCTTTCCTTTATTAGCAGAAGTTGTGGTATTTATTTTTTGGTTTTGCAGTGCATCATTTTTTGAACGCTCTGCTGTCTGTCTTGTTTGCTCCACGGCAGCATTCTGAACAAGTTTTGTCTGCTGCACGTTTGCCATGTCCTTTCCGCTCTTGACACTTTTGTTATCCGTGGCCTTCGTCTGCGGTTGTTTAGGTTTGCCTGCAGCTTGAGGTTTTTGCTCAAGGTCTTGCTGTCTCGCAGGCTCGGCTGGCTTCGGCTCTGCCCCTGGAGAAGACGCAGAAGCCTCTCGTGTGGCATTTCGGCTACAGTGAGAGGAGCTGCTGCCTTCTGTGCTCCGTTGTGCACTTCCAGTTTGCGCGCGATGTGGAGTAGGAGAGGAGTTGCTGCCTTCTCTGCTCTGTTCAGTGCTTCCAGTCTGCGCTTGAGGTGGAATGAGAGAGGAGTTGCTGCTTTCTGTGTGCTGCTCAAGCTCAGGGTTTTTCTGTCTCTCAGGCTCCGCTGGCTTCTGCACGGCCCCTGGAGAAGACGCAGAAGCCTCTGGTGTGGAGTGATGGCTACAGCGAGAGGAGCTGCTGCCTTCTGTGCTGGGTACAACACTTCCTGTTTGCTCCTGAGATGGAATAAAAGAGGAGTCCCTGCCTTCTGCGCTCGTTTCAGTGCTTCCAGCCGGCACGCGAGGTGGTATGTTGGTCTTCACAGTCTCCCGTGTAGCTTTTTCAAAGGGTGCACAGTCAGACATCTTTCTGGTTTTCTGAACCTGTGCAGGACTGCCTGGGCAAGGCTCCTGAGAAGCCGTGTTGGTGTTTACAGGTTGAGTAGATCTGCCTGCTTCCTGTACCAAAGCAGCAGTGTCATCCATTGCACCAGACTCATCCTCGCTGTCAGAGGGCACTGCTTCCTCTTCGACTGCTGAGGTGGGCTTGTCAGCCAAGGAGATGTCAGAAAGCTCCGTCGCCATTTCCTCAGACTCCAGAGAGGAAGACTGTTTGCTTTTCTTCCTTTTATCCTTCTTTTTTTTCCTCTGTGTGAAGAAAATATTATTAAAAAATTACACTTGTATTAACAAGGGCTAAAAGCTCACAATTATCTTTACCCCAGTACAATCAGGGTTTACATG